TAAAAAAGTGGCACAAAGGTATTAAAGCCCAAAAAAAGTGGCAAAATTGATACTTTAGTGGCACAACGGTCACGCTGGTCCCATGTAATATGGTTCTCTACCAAAGTAGCCTAAACACACATTTTAAGCCAAATCGATTCGAAAACATAACCAAAACCCTCGAAATAGGTAAAAACAGGAGGAACCTTTATATGAACGATACTCCAAAACATTGACATTAACAAAACATTGAGGTGACCTAGAATGTGACCAAGACCCTGGAAATAGTTGAAATTAGCGGATGCCTTCATATAAGGGTTATACTAAAGCTTGGTCCTATACTTATAATTATTTGAAAGAATGTTTTGTTCTTTCTAAAATCTCAAATAACCAACATTTAAGGAATTAAAAAAGGGCTATATCACAATGCAGACCAACCTGAAACATATTTTGTACAAATGATTCTTTATACGCTTATTACATTGCCTCTTCATATTCGGTAGTTCACTGATTGCAGTCCCAATGAATTTTGCATTGGATGGATTATTTCCATATCTAGTCACTTTTTTGGAGTTTCCGACCTCAGGATCGATAGTAATTTTTAAATAGAAATCGTGGAAATATGACTTTAATTCATCTATCATAAATAAATGTTTTGATCCTTCTAGAAGTAATTGAACACTTTATTATGGTAACCATATAACGGCATGTACACAAAATATGCAACATTTCTCGAGGTTTTTCAATAAGAATTTTCAATTCCAAAAGACATTCTGAAACAATTGTACACCAAATTCCATATCCAAATAGAACAGTTAATACAGTTCTGCAATTTTTCTAGACACTTTTCTCAAAATTTTCTTTCTTGAAAACGTTTTCAGTGTAATTACAAATAACAAAAAAATATGAGTTAAATCGAGCCAGTCATTCTCAACTGAAGTTTTACTAAGCTTTTTTAAAAAATTTTACATATGGATCTAAAAAAGTGGATGTGGGCCGCTCCTCTGACCCACACAGATATCTAGGCTTGCAGGGAGAGTCAAGATTACGCTGTGGAGCAGATATCTTTATTATTTTGGCAAATAGGAGTTTTGGTAAATAGAAAAATGGACGTAAAATTGGGCATGGTCACTTTTTTCTTTGCATAAAAACTCGTGGTAGGACGGACATTAAAAAAAATATCCCAATCCTTCCAGCCGTTCTCAACTGATTCAATTACCAAAGAACAACAATTGGTTATTATATATATAGATTAGAAGTATGCGTTGTTGTTGTTAGTTCCTCAGCCCCCAAATAAATCCCTAGGGTTGGAGGGAAAGTCAATAGTATCTCGTGATAATTTTCAAACCGATATCTTCAGAGTAGTCAAATATAATTACTATTTTACACCCATTACCGAAAGATGGGAATTTATTTTATTTGCCATTTAAATTGTAAGTTGGAGACCCCATAAAGTCCATATTTTTTTCATCAGATAGTATAATTCAATGGCGATTCAACAAATATTCGGTCCCGTGCTACTTTCTTATATTTGTAATTTGTTCATGTTTTCACAATTCATTTCATATAGATGTACATCTCAAATCTACGTTCCCAACCAATATTCTCTTGGGTTTTACAAATTCAATGCAATACAAAATTTTCTTTTCTGACCACACATTAGATGTGAACGTGGACTTGGGGATACTCCAATGTGGAGACTTTACTTAAATAAAATTAAATAAATTCCTATGTGGCAATTTCTGTATGATGAAATTGCCCAAAAATGAAAAAAGTGGCCAAGACGCCAAAAATAGCTCAAATCATACGATGGCTATATCAATATGAAATCGGGTTGTACCCTTAACCATGAGTTATGATCGATTTCATGACCTGCAAAAGCGATTTAAGGTATCTTGAATGTTTGGGAAGAATTTCTGGAAAGATTTGGTATTTTACTGATTGTACTCCCAAAGAACTTTTGCATTTTGAGCTCTCATTGGACGGATTATTGTCACATGAAAGAAGTAGGTCCACGCTTTGAAATGAGCCCCATTATGCTTTTTCGGTCATTTTTATACCCTCCACCTTGGAAAGGAGGGTATATTAACTTTGTCATTCCGTTTGTAACATCCTTAAATATTCTTCTTAGACCCCATAAAGTATATATATTTATAATCAGCATAAAATTCTAAGTCGATTTAACGATGTCCATCTGTCTGTCTGTCCGTCTGTCTGTCTGTCCGTCTGTCTGTCTGTCTGTCTGTCTGTTGAAATCACGATACAGCCCACATTATTTGACGTAGAGCGTCAAAATTTAGCAGAGGTATTTGCATTGTGTCTAGGATGGTTGGTATTGAAAATGAGATATATCGGTCCACGTTCTGGTATAGTCCCCATATAACTGTACCTCCCGATATTCGGTATTTTAATGATTTATGCCACATTTTTTCACGGATTTGTCTGGAAATTAGTATTTGTAGGTCATAACGGGTCCCTGAGCGTGTGGAAAAACATTGCATGTATAGGTCCACGTTGTGGTATAGCCCCCATATAAAGGTACCTCCCGATATTCGGTATTTTAGTTTTTTTTGCCACATTTTTTCACGGATTTGTCTAAAAATTGGTATTTGTGGGTCATAATGAGTTCCAGCTCCGGTGGCGAAACATTGCATGTAAGGGTCCATGTTTTGGTATAGCCCCCATATAACGGTACCTCCCGATATTCGGTAATTTGATGATTTTTGCAACCTTTTTTCACGGATTTGTCTGAAAATTGGTATTTGTTGTTCATAATGGGTTCCAGCTCCGGTGGCGAAACATTGCATGTAAGGGTCCATGTTTTGGTATAGCCCCCATATAACAGTACCTCCCGATATTCGGTATTTTTATGGTTTTTGCCACATTTTTTCACTGATTTGTCTAAAAATTGGTATTTGTGGGTCATAACGGGTCCTAGTTCGTGTAGCGAAACATTGTAATTATAGGTCCACTTTTTGGTATAGCCCCCATATAACGGTACCTCCCGATATTCGGTAATTTGATGATTTTTGCCACATTTTTTGCCACATTGGTATTTGTTGGTCATAATGGGTTCCAGCTTCGGTGGCGAAATATTGCATGCATGGGTCCATGATTTGATATAGCCCCCATATAACGGTACATCCCGATATTCGGTATTTTGATGGTTTTTGCAACATTTTTTCACTGATTTGTCTAAAAATTGGTATTTGTGGGTCCTAATGTGTAGCGAAACATTGTAATTATGGGTCCACGTTTTGGTGTAGCCCCCATATAACGGTACCTCCCGATATTCGGCATTTTAATGGTTTTTGCCACATTTCTTCTAATGTTTCTTTTACCCTAAGGTGGAGGGTGTTAAAAGTTTGGCCCGGCCGAACTTAATGTTTTTTTACTTGTTGTTTGTTCAAATGTGTTCGCATCTTCCAGCTGAAACACGATGTAGGCCCTGGAGTTGAAGGGTAGATGTCAGTTAACATCCTATTTCGCACATATTTCATTTTTTTAGTGAAAAATTAATCTTTATTTAGTTCACAAAAAATCAACTGAATTCAATACAATAAAACAAATCAATTAAATAAATTGGTATTAACATTCGAATTCAAAAATAAAATATAAAAAAAACACTACAAATGTACATTAGAAAAAAGTAAGTCAAAATGGAAAAAAATCATTCAAAATAAAACATTACTATTGTACATTTCAAAAGTCAAAATGAAAATGTTAAAATATCACATTTATACGCGATTTTTTTTTTTTTTTTTTTTTTGATATTATCCTTTTCGGAGAGGAGACAATTCCGATTTTGTATGAATCGTTAAAATCAGTCCAGCGGTTCTTAAGTTATAAGCGTAGTAACTAACACAGTTTTCTTTTATATATAGATACATTAAAGGATTTCATACCCAACGTACATTATCCACCCCCTTATAATTTGCGTAAATTACGTTTACAACTCATATTTAATGAGCATAAGAAATAAACTTCCAAATAAATACTACTTTCTGATTTTATTATAAGCATTTCTAATCATTTAGCTCATTTATCGGAGAAAATGTTTTGTATGAATAAAGCAAATGAGCTAATTTAACCCGATTAAAAACTGGATTTAGTATCTAAACTTGAAGAACATTTTAATGGCACAAAATGTCATCTTCTTGCATTTATCATTCGGTTCAAGAAATAAAGCACACAACAGGACATATGTAGAGTTTGAAGGCTGAAATATTCTACAGAAAAAAATCCACATTTCATTTGTGTTAAAGTGTGATCTTAGAAAAACAAGCTGGAAACCGATATATAAGCTGATTCATCTCGTCATAACTTCGAAGTTCAACCTAAGACGAAATCTTCAAATATAACATGTGCCTGAGAATAATAGTCGAAGACATTTCAAGTATTAGATCCAATGCCATCACTGATAAAATCTTAATTTCGATACAGATAATTTACCTATATCATCTTAGCTCAATTACATTTCTAACAAAAGTATTAAGAAAAATTTAATGAAAATAGTTCCATGTAGCGCAATTCCAATATAGCTCCTTTTGGTTAAACTACCTTTCTAGTAGTTTCTAACACAGCTTACAGCCTTGTTCTTTTCAGAATGTATACAGCAGAAATCAACGAGTACATATTTTCTTTTGTTACATTTATTAATTTAAAAAAAAATATTACATTATTAATTTCAAAAATTATAAATTAAAAAAAAACTTAATGAAATATTGGAATATGTCGAACTTCAACAAGTTGCATCGCGATTGCCCCGATTGTGACTTTGACGGGAACCACATGGTAACTTCTTCCAAGATCGTTCAAAGGACTGAAGTGGCATACAAAAAATGCAGTGTCATCAGATCGTAGGCAAAAACTTAATCGGTTGTAATCCCAAAATACATCGAAAAAAGTTTCCAATTATATATATATATAATCCCAAAATACATCGAAAAAAGTTTCCAATTATATATATATATATATATATATATATATATATATATATATATATATATATATATATATATATATATATATATATATATATATATATATATATATATATATATATATATGTAGAAATCTACGGTACGTATTTATTGCATTTATTTAGGTACATATACGTATATAGGATACATACATATGTGTAATGTATATCGTGCTTACTAAACATCTCATCAGACAGACCGGCAGACTGATGGACAGACTTATAGAAAACCACGCGTTTTAATGGTTGATTTGTTGACTTGACTGACTGGTTGAATGGTATACTCAGTTGTTGTTTCATATGCAGTTGTTGAATTGAATAAACTCAAAGCAAGGTAAGGCATTTCGACTTAAATCTAAACGTCGACACTATGTCTGGTAAAATCGCATGAAGTGGCGACATTCTGTCTGCTTAGGCTGGGCATTGTTGCCACATTTAACAGCTGCACAAACTTCTACGTAAGCATAAACAACGAAGCAACAGCTTCGGCTACACACAAAAGAACAAAAACTCAATGTACACCATTGCTCTGCTTGCTGGCTGACTGAATGAATGGATGGCAAGCAGTTCCAACGCATTGTGGTGTTGTTGCCTTGTGCTGTCTTGCTGTGTTACCGCTTCTAGTGACGATTGTATGGGTTTGTTTTTCCATATTATCAGGAACAGCACCAACAAAAAATTTGACAGCAGTAGAAATAAAGAAAAAATATGAAAAAAAACAACATATTTTTGTATTTGTAATGGAATTTCACACCAATGCGGACAAGATATAAATATACTTCACTCAGTGGCTTTGTATGACTCAGGAAGACGACCAGAGTGCATGTGTATTCACTATATCTCGTATATCGACATCCGTCGACACAAAATGGATGTATGTGTGTGTCAAGTGCCTGATAATATAAACGTTTTATTTCGAATGTCTGCTCTTTTGCTCTCTCGTTCAGTTTATAGAATGTGTGTGTTTTTTTTTTTGGGTTGGGGGGGGAGAGTGAAACGGATTATTCGATTTTATTGCGTCAACTGATCACAAACAAGTATTCAGATGAAATATGGCAACATGTACATTTTTGGTGTGTCGGGCTATGTTCGTTGCTGTTGGGCGAAAGAAAAACCTGTTTGTCTACAGACCGAACACAGAAGAGCCCTGCCATAATAAACTGACCGTAGGAGTAGTGGCGCTCTAAGGGGTGACTACAAAAAAAAAAAAAAAAAAAAAAAAAAATATATATATATATATATATATATATATATACATCTTCTCATTAAAAAGGCAATTTCAAGGGCTTGAACAATATTTGACAAAAATATGATTAGTGGGTAGAATAATAAAATAACAAATTATTCAGTGTCTATCTAAAAGCTTACGTTCAAAAAATTACCTAAAATTGGAATTTAAAATTAAAATTTTGTGCCCTTTATGATGATGGAGGATCTCTTTTAAGCTATCGAAAAACTTGCATTCAAAACATGACCTAAAGTATGGAAGTCTTCACAGAACTTTTCTTCAAGGCAGACAAGCAATTACTACCCAGACAATCAAATTTTTATTTCATTCATTCACATTTTTCGTACGTATAAAAACAAAAAATTTTACTTGTCTGCCATTTGATTTGCAATGGTAAAAAATTAAATATGCTGAACTAAATATTATAATAATTCTTGCAATAAATTTACGATTTTGCCTTTAATTTTTTTTAATACCCTTCACCATTCTATGAGGGGTATATTAGCATTGTCATTCCGTTTGTAACTCCTAGAAATATTCATGATAGTCCTTACAAAGTATATATATTCTGGATCAGCGTAAAATTCTAAGACGATTTAGCCGTCCGTCTGTCTGTTGTAATCACGCTATCTTTCGAACGAATTGAAATAGTTGGCTAAAATTTTCCTTACATGCATATTTTCCCAATAGGCAGGTTAAGTTCGTAAATGGGCCATGTCTGTCCACGTTTTCGTATAGCCCCCATATAACGGTAACTCCCGATATTCGGTATTTTCTGTTCATATAGTCCACACTTAAGTAGTAGTTTTCGGATTTTTTTTAATTTGTCAAGTTTCTTCCAAATGGTGGAGTGCATTAAAAGTTCAGCCCGGCCGAACTTAGCTGTTTTTTACTTGTTTTTATTTATTTTAGATTTTCTTGCTTTAAAAGGGGAAAAAGATCAATAACATATGTTTATGTTATTATAACAACCGAATTGAAAAAGGTAGCATTTTTCTTTGGAAATACCACATGATAGAATTTTATATAATTATGAAGTTTGTTGCTGTCCTTCCTTTGGAAGAAACATAGAAATATAAAAGTAACTGAATTCAAGCGTGTTTCACTTTAAACTTCATATACCACTAAGACTGTTTGAATAATGTAGTTAAACTTATCAAAAAACCAAAAGTGAATGAGGTCTTTGTATGGGACCATACCAAAACGGGAACCTCTGTGGACAATTTTATACTTCAAGGATTGTCACCTATCAAATCTTCTAAAATACTAAATTTGAAACTATTATGTGCGTAAATGTGACTATGATTATCAATATACCCAATATCGGAAGGTATCGTTACATGTGTTAGAAACATCCGAGAAATGTGGCAAAAATCATTAAAATTCCGAATTTCGAGGGGTACCGTTATAAAGGGACTATACCAAAATAGATCTCACTTTCAATACCAACCATCCTGTACACAATACAAATTGTTCTGCTAAATTTTAACGCTCTACGTCAAATAATGTGGGCTGTATCGTAATTTAAACAAGCAGACATACAGACGGACAAATCGACTTTATGCTGATTATGAAGCTTCATTAATACTTTTGACTAATTTCATATTTAGTTTGTTGCATTTGTTGTCTTTGCGATTTTAGTTGGTTTAGTTGTGGCCACCAGTGTGTATATATATATATATATATATATATATATATATATATATATATATATATATATATATATATATATATATATATATATATATATATATATATATATATGTATATATGTTACTGATTTTATATTGCTTATTATTATAAGTATATCAAATGAAGCACTTAACTCAAGTCGAGAATAGTGCAATGTAATATGCACATACAAACCTGCAAGTGTGGTGATGCAAACCCCCCTTATTAATGCCACCATCATCCACTCATGTGCATGTAGTTTTTTCGTTCGTCTGCCAGTCTGTCTGTTATATCGTTTCCTCGTCTCTCTGCCGTCTCATGAATGTTCACTTTTACAAATACCAAGAGACTCATAGATATTCAACACATGTATATCTAAAAACAGTCATTCGTTGAATCAATGCATAAGAACATAGTATTTGTTGTATCTATACGTAAGCATTTAGTGATAGCAACAGTTGATTCTTGGTGGAGAGAGTGAAAGAGCGAGTATGAATCTCAATTGAATACATACACCTACCTATACACCAACACTTGTGTATGCTAACACGTTATGCTTAGTGAGTGTGGTCGATTGAGCAAATGTGTGTTCGACACCAACAACTACATAAAAAGCACCTAGAGCCAGAATGTCTGCCAGTGCTGTGGAATTGAACATTAATACATATTTCTACAGAGTTTCTAAGTTAGTCAAAAAAGAAAAAACACTGCGATCAAACGTGTCATCGTTACTGTGTCGCCAGCGCCTTTTCACTATTTACTTTGTTTAACACCACGTTTCCCTCTTGCCGCCTTAACAGAGCTACTTTTCAATTGGAAAACTGAAACTAACAATTAGAATCAGTGAAATAATATAATAATACAAATAACAACAACAACGTATACGTCGGCAACTGTGAGCGCGACAACAATACATATTCACATCAAGAGACTAACCGACGACAGCCAACAATACGATGTGTTGTTGTATCAGTGAATACCAAAGCAAGCAAAACAACTAGAACGGGTCTTCGAACTAGAACGCATAACACTTGTGTTTTGGATTTGAAGGTGTTCGGTCGCAAACGTTGAAAAAAGCCGTGAGAATGTGCTTCCAATTAAATGCAATACAATAAAAAACAAAATTGTGAAGTGTTTATATTTCATCAAGTTAACATCATCACTCACCATTGCGACAGCAACGGGTTATAGCGAATCAACATAACTAATGTGAAATCATAAACATTAAAAACTATATCAATTTCAGAAAAAAACATTGTTAACGGAAGTGCCTCTATATTGAATATTTTGATGTTATTATATAAAGCCCAATAATTGAAAATACACAAATTCAATTTAAACATGGAACATAATGAAAATATTTCGACGAAGAGTGTTGTTAATTTTCTGCAGGGTGACTGCGCAAATAATGGAAACATTACTGTCAGTCACAAATTTAGAGAGTTATCCACACAGCAAGAGACAGGCTGCAAGAGATCAGAAATAGTATGTCCCAGTACACCAACTGTGAATGGAAGTAGTGGGCATAAAATGGGTTCCAGACGTATATTTACGCCACAGTTTAAACTACAAGTTTTGGAATCTTATCGCAACGATAATGATTGCAAAGGCAATCAACGTGCAACAGCGAGAAAGTACAATATTCACCGTCGGCAAATTCAGAAATGGTTACAATGCGAATCTAGTCTAAGATCATCAGTGGCTAATATTACCCAGAACACAGTGAAGCACCAGTTTCACAATATCAGCATTCACCAACAGGTTCAAAAGTCTGGCATTTCTGGCGCTTCAGTTCCATTGATAAATGTCCCGTACGGAGTCAGTAATAATCACCAACACACCCATTTCGGACCAGAAACAACACGAACAGATGCGGCCAATAGTACAATAATTGTGCCATCTTTGTCGTCGGGTGTTACAACATCAACTACACAAACACAATGTGTGTTTTCAGCAGCTAATTTGGCTGTAGTGGTTGCAGCTGCAGCAGGAGCTGCTATGACCATTACAAGCCCACCAGCAACTAATGGGACTTCAATTTCAAATGAATCCGCCCCTCCATCGTCTTTACGCCCCCCTTCTATAATCGGTGCCAGCGGGAGCACTGCAACAAACATATCAACACTTCTGCACCACCACCATCATTACGGTGTCCCACCATATATACACCATACACCTGCAACTGCTCAACTGCCAGTTCCGATATTAGCACACCATATTTCTCATTCACCACACATGCATCAACAGCCCGAACAACATGAAGCATATCAATACCATAACCTGACATATACACAATCACTAACACATCAGCCCTCAGACAAACAGCAGCCGCAGTCGCTTTTGTCGTCAATGAGTCTACCCGATGTTAATGCCTTATCAACAGCTGGTTCACTAGCCGTCAACAATGGCTTTCCCTCAGCACTGTGTGAGATTGAACAGAAAGAATCTGCAGATTCTAAACATTTATGTTCTATAGCACATGTAGATAATTCTGTAATTGGACATTGTTCCGAAATTAACACTGGATCAATTTTGTCGTCGCATTCACCACCGGAGTTCAGTGCTATAAACAAACCTCAAACTCTGTACAGAATTCAAGAAAATGATTGCCAAATGTTATATCCATTGGGACCTATGGATTTATCAGTGCGAACACGAAGAGACTTAAATCATAAATTACCTGCAATTACAAATTTTTCGGAAAACGATTCTATTATTGTCGATTTAACTTACAGGAAACGAAAAATTTTGCCGTCACCATGCAATGTTGGTATGTCTGAAGAAAATCAGCTTAAACTTAAAAGACCAACAGAAGAAAATAAAAGTCAATCAAATTCTAACACTGACGATGATGAAGTTGAGATTGAAGTGGGAATAGAAGAAAAACTACCTCCATCTAAACCTGTTAAACTTTTTAAACCCTATTTACTCGATACTGATTCGGAAAGCAGCACTACTACCCCGCTTATCACTAGTGATGTTAAATATGTAGAGTCAAGCGATAATATTTCCTGGGTACGGCATACATCAAGCATTTCTCCACCACCACCCATTTTCGACAATTCTACGGGTCATTGTCACAGTTCTACTTTTCAATACTCCACCGTGAAAGAAAATTCTATTTTTTCTGGCGAAATTAAAGGGGAAAACCCAAAAAGTGCATTTACCTCCATCCCCACCATCTCTCCCACATCTTTTCGAAGTCCGAAGCGATCTCCATCTTCTTCGGGGTACGAAAGTTCTTCCTCGACCTACAGCGATTCTTCATTTTCTTCCCGTGGTGAATCATATGCCTACAATAGATCATATACACTTAGCCTGCAAATGCACTCAATACAACACGAGCAATTAAGTTTGCATCGCTCTAAGCAAGTCGAGAGGTGGTTGGAACAGGAATCGCGCAATTCCTTGGAACCCAATTCCCCAATAGCTATTTTGGCTTAAACCAAATTCACTGCAGCCATTTGCATTATTAAATATGCCATTCGTACTCATCGTACAATTGAAACATATCAACCTAGTTTTAAGATAAATTCCAACATTAATAAAAAATCATTTAATATACCTATTACGCGCTTGAATTAATCAACAAAAACCTGAAAACGAGGACAATATTTTTTTATATTCACTTATAATCTAATAGTTTTGAAGTAAATTGATGACGATACATTTAATGTACAAAGTGTGAAGGCAATACTTAATTGAAAAATGGATTATTGTGTTATGAATTTTACAATTAATTGTATGTAATTTGTAAGTCCGGATATTGTACATGCTTATTATTATATATTTATCTTTAAAGATATAAAAACATATAGTCTTACGAAGAAATGTTTCACTGTTTTAAAATAAAAAGCTTTAAAATTTCTTATTTTTGTTTTTGGAACCCATTAGATGATTTATTTTGGAAAACGTTCATTCAAACGATTGTGATAGAAATTGAACTGTAAAACTACAAGTGAATATATAAAAAAATATTTACTTTTTTATTACCATGTCTAGATAAATTCATAGTCCTACAGTATTTTTATATATTTACACATACTCATAAACATCTGCTCATTTGTATGATATAATTTGACAATTAATAAAGTAAAGTAAAACTTACATTCATATAATAATATTGTCATATGATTTCTAACGGGTTTGTATATATAATATAATATATATATATATATATATATATATATATATGAGAACGGCTGGGACGATTTGACTCAAACTTTCTTTTGGTTATTTGGAAACGTTGTCATGAAAGAAAATTTTGAGAAACATCGCGGGACTAAAAAAATCGACTGTTCTATTATACTATGGAATTTTGTGTATAATTGATAATTCAGAATGCCTTTTGGAATTGAAAATACTTATTGAAAAAAAACCGAAAAAAAAACGAGAAAGTTTGCATATGTTCTATACATGCTGTTATGTGGTTGCCATACCCATGGTACAATGAATACAAGGTAGGTCCATGGTACAATGAATACAAGGTAGGTCAACTTTGAAAAAATTACAAGTATAGAGATCTACCTGTTTGGCTTGTAATGTCAGAATTAGTATCAAAACAATAAAAAATCAAACAACTTGTTGCATGTATTTTGAATAAATAATTAAAAACCGCGAAAACTGAATGAAAGGTCAACACTTCTTTTTAAAACCAGGTTCTATATATCTCTAAAGGATTATTTCGCTACAAAAACTCTAGATTTTGTCGATGCATACGATGAAATAAACATTTTGAAAACATCCGAATTTGAATGTTTTCTGAACAATTTTTTTTGTTATTGAAAAGAAAACACATACATAAACAAATAAAGATGACATATTAAGCCAAGAAAATAAAAAAATTTAAATCATATGGTATCATAGCCCTACCTTGATATCATTGTACCATGGGTAGGTCAACTTTGAAAAAATTACAAGTATAGAGATCTACCAGTTTGGCTTGTAATGTCAGAATTAGTATCAAAACAATAAAAAATCAAACAACTTGTTGCATGTATTTTGAATAAATAATTAAAAACCTCGAAAACTGAATGAAAGGTCAACACTTCTTTTTAAAACCAGGTTCTATATATCTCTAAAGGATTATTTCGCTACAAAAACTCTAGATTTTGTCGATGCATACGATGAAATAAACATTTTGAAAACATCCGAATTTGAATGTTTTCTGAACAATTTTTTTTGTTATTGAAAAGAAAACACATACATAAACAAATAAAGATGACATATTAAGCCAAGAAAATAAAAAAATTTAAATCATATGGTATCATAGCCCTACCTTGATATCATTGTACCATGGCCATACCCAAATTATCGATTTTGATTAGGTATTGGAATAATCCATCCCATGGGATTAAAAATGCAAAATTCATTGGGACTTCAATCAGTGAAATATGAAGAGACACTGTAATATGCGGACTATACAAAATAGTTGAGTTAATTAAAAATATAGTATGAAAAGGATTCATATGCTCGGAAAATTCTTCCGAACCCTTAAAAGTAATCTTAAATCATAGGTAACATTATACGGGTACTATACGCTATCGCCAGTAGTTACACTGCGCCGCAGATAATTTTGGGGTTATGAAATTTTTCGGTCGGTAAATAAAAATCCCAAAAGAGGGGTTCCCGGATCTAACTTTTTTAGAGTCCATTTTGCCCCATACTCCGCAAAAGTTACGATAAAGTTTTAAATTCGATACAGTCCTAGGGGTTACATGAGGAATCATTTGTACAAAATATGTATCAGGTTGGTCTACATTGTGATATAGCCCCCTTCATATCATATAGCCCCTTTTAAATTCCTCAAATGTTGGTAATTTGAGATTTTATAAAAAAACTAATTCTTTCAAATAATTATAAGTATAGGACCATGCTTCATTATAACTCTTATGTGAAGGTGTCCGGTGATTTTGGCTATTACCAGGGTCTTGGTCACATTTTTCAATTGATTTTGCCCCTATTTGGCATCTAGCTTCTGGTAGAAGATCTCTTCGCGGAAATTTTCAATGTCGATATTTCGGAGCAGCGCTCATATAAAAGTACCTCCTGATTTTACCTATTTCGAGGTTTTGATTAAATTTTCGAATCGGTTTGACTTAAAATGCGTGTTTAGGCTACTTTGGGGGTAGAGAACCATCTTATATGGGCCTATTATCAACAGTTAATATATACTTTTTAAAATATTTCTATTTAAATATTTCTATTTAATCGAGTCATCATTTATACTAAAAATTGTGCCACTCATGTGAGCCAGATTTGCGAATTATTATGCTTTAAAAACTATGCATTAAAGACTAAAAATACGGGCCGGCAACGCGGACTGGACCAGCTAGTTATCTATAAAATTCACTTCTTCGTATAGGCTCTATACAACGGTACCTCCTAACATTTGGTATTTTGATGAATTTTAGCTGCGTCTTGCAAAACAATTATATTAGCTTAATGTTTGGAGTTTGTAACAGGCACCACCTTCTATGGCCGATAATTGGCTGTATTCGTACGCATTAGCTGTAGAAAGTCACAACTAATACCTTCGTATGACAAATTACCATTCAATAAGAACCTAGAAAGATATACAGTCAAATGCCGGATATCAAGGAGTACTGCTTAATAGAGAACAAAGCATTAAATGTTGGAAGAAAAGAATTTACGACATCGAATAGTGAATCAGTATGAAACGAGAATTATACCTAAACGATGACTAATATATACTATTTTTATACCCTCCACCATACTATGAAGGGTATATTAACTTTGTCATTCCGTTTGTAACTCCTCGAAATACTCATGTCAGACCCAACAAAGTATATATATTCTTGATCAGCGTAAAATTCTAAGTCGATTAAAACGTGTCCGTCCGTCTGTCTGTTGTAACCACGCTATCTTTCGAACGAATTGAGATAGAAGGCTAATGTAGGTCCACGTTTTCATATAGCCCCCATATAAAGGTACCTCCCGATATTCGGTATTTTGATGATTTTGGCGACTTTATTCACCGGAATTGTTTCAAATTTGGTATTTGAAGTTCGTAATGGATACTACATCCTAAGACAGAAAATTGTCTGTGCAGGTCCACGTCTTCGTATAACCCCCATATAACGATACCTGCCTATATTCGCTATTTTGATGATTTTAGCGTCGTTTCATAATTTTAGCGACATTATTCACCGGAATTGTTTCAAATTTGGTATTTAGAGTTCGCTATGGGAACTACAGCCTGTAACAGAAAATTGTCTATCCAGCTCTTCGTATAGGCCCCATATATCACTACCTCGATATGTTGAGTATTTTGACGATTTTAGGTACAATACCCACCGGAATTGTTTCAAATTTGGTTTTTGAAGTTCGTAATGGATGCTACAGCCTGTGAAAGGTGCAGGTCTACGTCTTCGTATAGCCCCCATATATGATGATTTTAGCGTCATTTTTCACCGGAATTATTTCAAAATTGGTATTTGAAGTTCGTAATGGATACTACAGCCTAAGACAAAAATTGTTTGTGCAGGTCTACGTCTTCGTATAACCCCCATATCACTGTACCTCCCTATATTCGGTATTTTGATGATTGTAGCGACATTATTCACCGGAATTTTTTCAAATTACGTATTTATAGTTCGTAATGGGAACTACAGTCTGTGACATAAAATTGTCTTTTCAGGTCCAGGTCTTCGTATAGGCCCCATACATCAGTGCCTCATTATATTCGGTATTTTGACGAGTTTAGGTACAATACCCACCGAAATTGTTTGAGATGTCGTATTTGAAGTTCGTAATGGATGCTACAGCCTGTGACAGAAAATTGTCAATGCTTGTCCAGGTCTTCGCACAGCTCCGATATAACGGTACCTCCCTATATATGATATTTTGATGATTTTAGCTACATTATTTACAGTTTATTTCAAGTTTCGAATTTGAATACGGTAATGGCTTATGACAAACAATGCCTATGTAGGTCCACGTCGTATTGACCCCAATATAACGGCTATATTCGATATTTTTAAAATTTTAACAGAATTTTTTAAGGATTTTATTTTATGAAAATTTCTAAATTCGTTCCAAATGGTGGAGAGTATTCAAAGATCGGCCCGGCCGAACTTTCTGCTTTTTAACTTGTTTAATATTAATCAGCCTAGGAATAATAGTAATAATCTGTTCGAAGTTTCAAAAAAATTTCTTAAATATTGCGACCCCTATCTTGATTTCAAATGGCTGCTGGAGAGGCGCACGGCATAGAATTTTAATCTGATAAAGAATATATACTTATGGAGTACCTTATGAACTTTATGGAATGTCTAACGAATTTTTTGAATGAAAATTAAAAGTTTGAGGTGGGCAGCCATAGAAAAGAAAAGAAAGTAGTTGCAAGCCAACGTTTGTAGCAAAGATAAGTTTAGAGAAAAGTTATAAGGTTACAATTTATGTGAGGTAGTTTTTTATGATCTCAAAAATGCATTAAACACTAGACTATGGAGTTAGTTTGCAAAAAGTAAGTATTGTTTTAGTATAAAAATTTGAAATGTAAAAATGATAATCGTGAAAAAAAAACTTTTAAAATGTTCAAGAATATGTTAAGTTAATATAACTTTGTCATTTCGTTTGTAATTCCTTGAAATACTCATGTCAGACCCAACAAAGTATGTATATTCTTGATCAGCGTAAAATTCTAAGTCGATGTCCGTCTGTCTTTTGTAATCTCGCTATCTTTCGAATGAATTGAGATAGAAGGTTAAAATTTTGCACACATGTTTATTTTTTCAGTAGACAGGTTAAGTTCGTAACGGTACCTCCCAATATTCGGTATTTTGATGATTTTGGCGTGATTATTCACCGGAACTATTTCAAAATTGGTATTTGAAGTTCTTAATGGATACTACATCCTAAGACAGAAAAATGTCTGTGCAGGTCCACGTCTTCGTATAACCCCCATATAACTGTACCTCCCTATATTTGGTATTTTGATGATTGTAGCGACATTATTCACCGGAATTTTTTCAAAGTTGGCATTTAAAGTTTGTAATGGATACTACGGCCTAAGACAGAAAATGATCCATGTAGATCCACGCCTTCGTATAGCCAACATATGACGGTACCTCCCGATATTCGGTATTTTGATGATTTT